CTTCTTCTTCTTCTTCTTCTTCTTCTTCTTCTTCTTCTTCTTCTTCTTCTTCTTCTTGTCCACTACATCATGTACCCGCGACAACAGTTTCACCTGATCGTTTCTCAACGACACTAATGCACAGTTTTAATGCAATGGACTCTACTAATGGATATTTGTTGTTAGTCGTATAGACTTCTTGTCACTATTTTTTACCGAAATCACTACAGGAGTGACTTTGCGGGGTTCAGTCTCTGCTGGCAGACAGTTACGTTATTGGTAACGTAATTTTGCTTGACTCATTTGTCGTGCTTCTGCTATCTGAGCATTATTAACAGTCATCGCCGAGTGGTTTCAATGTTAAAAATTTTCGATTGTAATTTTAACCTCAGCTATTTTTTATTGAGGAAGTTTTAAATTTTATTAATTTATGGTTTGCATCTTGTGCTGGTTATTAGTAAGAAACCAAGTCAGAGTGGGTTAAGGCGAATCGTCGGATTAGTGCGCACGCGTAAGAGAGAATTGTTTACGATTCCCACACTCTGTAGTAACCATACCAGATCACAGTGATGCTGTCCATATGGTTCATGAGTCAGCAGCTGGCCATCTGGTATGAAAGTTCACGGTGATTATGACCGTGGTGGCCTGTTTCAAATGTCGGCATATATCAACTTATTCGACTGGTCTCTGTGCCTTTAGCCACTAGATCACTGGATCAGAAGACAAAAAATCTGTTTTGTAGGGTTCGTACTGGAAGTCATCAGTACCAGCATTTGAAGATGAGCATATTTATGAATGCACGTGACTAGGACATCCGTCGAATTGCAAGAAGAAGAACTGAGTAACGCGCTTTGCCCGATGTAGACATGAACGACCTGGTGAACGGTTTCGCTTGAAAGAAAAATTTCACGTGATCAAAAGTTAATCAGCGCAATTTCTTTCTCAGATAAAAGTGAGCTTTGTTTGACGGCTGAGAAAGAGGGAAGTTTCGTTACTACCAAAATATGAAAAGTCAATAATCATTCATCGTGTCTGAGGAATACAAGTTGAGGCTAATCGCGGCGTATTAAGTCGTCATCGGTCATCGTCTTGAGCGGATGCTGTAACCGTCAAGTAGTTGCAAGCGGTCGTGTATAGCGTTTCACAGAAAAATGAGACCGACGTTATCTTGATGGAATCCCTGCGTTGTAAACAGCTCTTATGAACTCAAATCTCGATCGGCTCGAGCATAGCCCGAATGGCGACCACTGTCTATTGAACCGCAATGCGAGTGTCGGATGAGGTAGTTTCCGGAGGACCGGACGACGTTCGGCGGCATCAGACTTTCCTCCGCGTCTCTGAACGACGCGTTTGACGCTTTACGATTTTACATTGATTTATCTGCTCGTTTCAGGAATGCCGAAATCCCCTGCTGCTGCTCAAACGTTCATCGCAGACGAAGGTAAGCAATCGGCCACTGAAGTAGGCTGTCTTGTAACACCGTTGTTCAGAATACCAAAAATCAAAGTCCCCGTGGATTTTCAAGCGCCTGGTAAGAATTCAAATCCGTTTACTCGTCTTTCGGCAGCAGATATGTTTGTCTGCGCGAGTTTCCAATATACAGTTTCTATCGGCGAAAGAACGGCATAAAATAAATCAAAACATATAGATAAAGTGAATACGATTTGCGGTGTTCGATTCTGCGCCCGTTGTTAGACGTAAGCAATTGGTCTATGTGTTTCCATGACTGATGGCACTGAATGATGCCGATGCTAGCGTTTTAACACCAACGCGGTTTGCAACATTCGACGTAGCGCGGTTACAGGATACAATCCATATACTACGTTGGAGACGCACCTTGGTGGTGGTGTGATGGAAGGAGTCGAATATGAGCTCCGAACGTTTGGCTCGAGTCTGTCGTGCTTACCGGCGTTCGAACCTTTGCCTCAGCCATGAATTCCCTTGAGCAAGGATTTAACTCCACCTTTGTTCGACGCAACCAGCCGAGAAATGGCTAGTTTAAATCCGTGACTTTCGAAAAGTACATAAGACATTGGAGTTTATCCTGGTCATGCTAGGATGGACGAGCTACTAGTGTGGCACGAGTGCCCCTGTGACGGAAATTCGCCTTTACCCACCTGATAGCTGAGTATCAAGTGTAATAATCAGCTCGCTGGTGTAACGCTGATTCCGCTTCCGATACTTTATTAAAAAAGCGGTGGCATTTAAGGGTTAAATGATGCCGTCTGATGCCGTTTGGCGTTTCATCATGCCATAATTATTATTCAACACATAGGGACATTTTTCATCTCTATTCTCACTGTTATATCTTTTGCCCGGTAACCTTCTGGGTCGCATTTATCTTGTCTTGCTCTTTTTATTGCAGTTCATCGTTTAATCCCAACAGCATAGATCACAAGGTTTCAAATTAAGGATAAATCGCGTTATGATCGAGGACTGCACGAGGATTTATTAGAATGCCGTGTTTGACAGTTGACGGAATAGCAAAGAGAATGCATCCGTCTTACATTGAAAATTCATTGGGTTTCATTTGCACTTGCGAATTCATTTGCATTTTAAAATCATTTCGCAGAGGAACTTCGTTCTTTTGAAGAAATAATTGTTTAAATATTTTCCTCAATTATCCACTTTAATACAGATTTCTGGGTGTCAGATGTCAAAAGATTATCTTAATTTCCTAGTGATTATTCTGAGTAACTTACTCAAGCAAAGAATGTTCTTTTAACAGTCGATATTTCAAATCTTCCTATATGATCTATAATTAGCTTGACAAAAATCAATCCATTTGTGCTCTTGAGGAAGGCTAAAAGGGCACTTTGCACATTGACGCAGTCTATTTAAGGTTGTAGAGAAATTTAAAGCGGTCAGGATGGCATAACAGATGACAAGAAGACAGAACCCGGAGACAAACATGCGACCGAGATGGCCAAGCGAGAGCAACAGTAGGAAGCACAAACTAGTTTGCGGGGTGACAAGAAGCTGAACAACGATACAAAACCATTTGTGTCAAAGTTTAACTAGGTATATATCGTACTAGCAGCAGAAATGATGTTTCTTCGAAGGGCCGCTGGCGAGGCGAGGCTCGACATGGTTCAAAACTCAGCAATCCGGTGTACCCTTGCATGTGAGGCGCTTCTTTTCCAGATCAACGGATCACATTTCGATGGTTTTTTCGATCGATGGTCAGATGTCAAGATTAGCTGCTTTCTCATGGTCACGTATCAGAGGCAAAATGATAAAAAAAAATTTCTTCTGATGTTGTCGCCTGTTCGAATCCAGCCCGTTGAACTAGGTTGACTGTCGAAACACCGCCGTTACTGCGTAAAAGATACATTACCTCTCTGAAGCCGCTCCATTCATAGGAATAATGAGGTATTAATGTATCTGAATACGGATGCAAGCACATATGTCAGCCAAAGAAATACGTAGGCTTACGTATAATTCATAATTAGTATTAATATGGCTTCGTTGTCTCCGTGTGATCTCGTCGTTTAGGAGATCTTTGCTACCCGCAGCTCTCCCATTTTGCATCAGTACTGTTCACTGCACAGTCGACAAATCTTTTTATCTCGTGTTACCTTCTCAGATTAAGGACCGACCCAGAAGTGACCGAAAGTTATTGCAAGCCTTAAATTCGACTGATTCAATGACTGTTTTTTGATTGGTAATTATACATGTTTAAGGCACCAAAGGTTCAATATGCCTACGCAGCACATTAGTTTAATAATAAAGTCATCGTCTTTATGTTATGCAAACTTTCTGCCTTGTCATTGATTTGTTTAAAACTATTTTATCCTATGATATTCGCGCTTGATCAATAAATTAGCATCGACACATAGGAGTTTGATACGGAGGAAACTTTTGCATCAACCACCAACTTCAAAGATCGCTATGTTGAATAAATCCTCATACATTATTCCCTCAAAATTTTACGTATTGTGTGCCAACAACCCATTACTTCTGTATAAGCCGATAATTTCATTGCTATTATCAAGGAAATTTGCAGCATAGCATAATAAAGTATGCAGTTGTCGTTCCTATCTACTTTCCAAACTGGAGACATAACTTGACGTGGTCCCGGGGTCTCTTACGCAGATCTGAATAAATGAATAAACTGAATAAATTATTGGCCCCAAATTCAAGAATAAGTTGAAGAATCATTCGAGCGATTCCTCCTTAAGTTTTCGGTTTGTTCCATCTTGCGTCGTTTCGTAATGACGACTCTTCGTTGAAGCTTGACTGAAAGTTGCAAGTTTTGCTGCTAGAAGGAGGTTACAGCAAAACCTAATTTTTCTGCACTTAATTAATGAATAAATGGCATGAAACAGACAGTTAACAAAAAAATAATGTATGCAATGACTGGAATAAACACGGAAAATATCACAGACAAAATCCCAGATGGCTAAATCTAAACTATGTTGCATTGCGCATTTCCAGTTAGCGCTGACGGACAGCCTCCGAGTCCCTGAAGGTGCGCACTGAAGCTGGTGCAAAAAATCTTCTAAACAGTTCGATTCGAGATGATACGCTGATCAGTTATTTGGTCATCGTACTGCACTGCTATAATCTGCAAATATTTCCAAATGAACCCGAAAGCCACGCATTGCCTAGCCAAACTTTTCTGACTTCGTCTTCGCATTTCAGTACGACTGGTCGAACAGGGCAAAGACGCGAGAAGTGATGCGTCACGTCCGTAAGGCGCTAGAGTACACCGATGAAGAGTACAAGAATTCGCGCCTAACAGATTTACTGGTAAGTCGTTCTGTGACGTCATCGTTATGCAGGTGAAAGTTTGATGGGGAAAATTCGGGGTTTTGTGCTGGACCGCAAGTATTTAGCACCAGAACTTATCCGACGATTGAGTATTTCGTTTGTGCGTTGGTGATCATATTTAGATCTAAAAAACGCCAGAGCTGTTATTATCAGTTTGAGCAGTTGGCTTGCGTTTTGTATCAATAAACCGTATTGATATACATTTTTCAGTTTTCAGAATTAGAACTTAAGAATTTATTATTCAGCTACACTTGATTATTTATAAATTTGTCATGCCCAAAATTATTTGCATGAAGAAAAAGTGGTTATGAAAAGATTTATTGATTTGTTTACCTGCAATTTGGCTGAAACGCTGGTTGTTATATTAAAGACTATCAACTGCCTGTTTTCTTATGTCTGAAATAATTTATAGCAATTTATTCAAGCAGAAGACACAGAATTTAAATAATTTTTAGAAATTAATTTATAATTTACTCCCCATAACGTGTTTCGAAATATAAATATTCCCGTACATGCATACGTTTACTTTTCAGACCAAACTCGATCCTTCTACACAATTATAATGTATTTTTAATTCAGTGTGCCATGAAGAATGCTTTAACTAATGTTATATCCGTTTTACTCCCCTTCGTGGCATTTCAAAGCATGTTACCATTCGCGGCACAATGAAACTCCCCCGCTGCCTTTTCCAAGCCCGGATGAAAAGAGGAGAGTGGCGAGACATCAGTAAAACGTAGTCACCTGCCCCTCGTGGTATTGACATTAGCGAACGTTATTCGGGTTCGGTTGTTGTCCGGGTTGCCAAGGCTGTAAAAGGACTGAGGTAGACTGCGAAAAGTCGGCGATCAGAACCTGCTCATTGCAATCTGAAAGCCGGGGACGTGGCAGCACAACGACGGCTGACGAAAACCGACGCAACGACGGCGAACATACCAGTCAGCAGCGGAGTCGCTACCCGTTCTGAACGGAGGAGGCAGACAACGCGATGCCATTACAGCACGTCAGAAAAGGCTCCACGAAAACGACACCACCAGTGGAAGCTTAAAGTCGTAAATTAGAAGATATCCTCACTCTGAGCAAAAGAACAAGAATTAGTTGATGAGGCCATGAAGTACCAACTCGACATTGTTGCACTCTCTTCAGCGAAGTGTCAAGGCTCTGGAATCCTGAACCTCAGCGGGAGTAAGCTACTCTACCAATTTGTCGATATCACGAAGCGCGCTCAGGCCGGTGTTGGTGTTCTGGTGGAACCCAACCTCGCTGATAGAATCATCGAATAAAAGCCTATCAGCAGAAGGGTGGCAATCCTCCGACTGAAGCTACAACACGCTAAAGCGCTAACCTTGTTACAGGTTTGTGCGCCCAATTTCCAGGGAGAATATAATTCCGTCTTTGAGAAAGTGAATTTACTCTGAGCGAAGTGCCGAACGGAGTCTATCAATTAAATAGGTTATTTCAAGCCGACACGGCGCATGCTGAAGCAGACGCTGAAAAGTGGAAAGGCGTGATTGGAAAGAACGACCCTAGGGACCTCAACAAAGCGGCATGAAGTTTCTGCGGTTTTGTTTAAACAACCGACTGCACCTTACGAAAAGTTTCGAGCATCGAAGCGTGCATCATTATACTTGGTAAGAAGGAATGCTTGATAATCGATTTGATAATCGTATCGTCTGACTTACGACACTCTGTAATGCGTATTTGCATTAAGGCAGGCGCAGATCTTTCGACTGATCATGACTTTGTCGTTGGAACGGTACGCTGTGGGAAACGTAGCGCCATGCGAAGACCTGGTGGCAGATTCAACAAGAAAATCAAATGGGAAACATTATCTTCGGTGGACACGAGAGTGAAACTTGCAAACAACGTCGCATGATGGTTTGAACAAATCCAGTGATGACCACTGATGTGGAAATTCAATCTGAGCTCTCTAAGAAAGGCATACTCGGGGCTGCCGCCGTCTATTGCGTATTCAAACGGGTTGGCCTGCTGGTTGGAGGTCAGAAAAGAACTTCCTGGTGAAGACGAGGGGTACAACTGACAGTTAAAGAGAAGAAAGCAGCGTTCAAAAAATGACTTGGAAACAAGGAGCTTTCTACTCGCGTGCGGTAGGCAGAAGCGCTCAAGGCGGCAGCGAAAGCCAAAGCTGATTCCTGGAAAAAGTTCGGTGAGGTGTTGAAGTCGAATTTGCGGACAGCAAGCAAGGTATTCTGGCAGACCGTCCGCCGCTTCCGATATGGTAAGAACGGCAGTCTAAGAGTGATGAATGAAAAGTCTGGACACCCTCTTACCAAAGATGAGACATACTTCGAGAGGTGATGGAAACATTATTTTGAAGAACTCCTTAACTTCGAGCCTTGTGCAACTGGCAACAGCCATTGATCTTCTAGCAGATGAAGTCACAAAGATGTAAAATTCTTGAAAAGTAGCAAAACTACTGGAATCGATTAAATCGAGCTTGAACAATCGAGTTTAACACCAAACTGTTGAGATATCGCAATAGTTCACCCATCCAGTGTATATGTCATTTGTTGACCAGCAGAAAGCCCATGACCTGAACCCGCGCTGCAGTTTATGGGCAGGTCTGCGAACACGTGGGTTTGATGGCCAGTTGCCACGGGCCATTCAACCGCCATTTGCCGACAGTAGGTTCTGCGTCAGAGTAAACGGCGTCAAATAGAAATCTTTCAGCGTTTGCACTGGTTTCCGCCAAGGCTGCGTCCTGTCCACTCTCCTGTTTGTGTTTTACATGGATAGTATAGTCAAGCGTAACCACGACGTCGAAGGTATACGCGTAGGAAATACGGACCTGTTGCTTTTAGCAGGCGGTTTTGTTTTTTTTGCATTTCCTGTATCTGATCTTCAGAGCTCTCTGGAATGGTTCGTAGCCGAGCGCGAGGTGGCTGGCGTGCGTGTGACGGTGTCTAAAACAGAAGCCTTTCTCTTATACGGTGAAGAAGTCGAACAGGTTTAGAGGTTCGTGTACATCCAGGTTGTGTTCATTGGTGATGGAGACAGAGAGGAAGAAATCAACCTGGGAATTGCAATTGCTAGCGGCCGTCTGCATGAACTAAAGCAAACCGTTGTGACTAAAACCGAGTTGAGTCCGAAGACTAAGCTCATCTTCATCATCTTCCATCGCCGCTTTTCCATTCGGGCCGCGGAGACAGACACGTCAGACAGAGCTTCCAACGTTCCCGATCCTGCGCCAGAATCTGAGCTTCGACAAAAGACAAATGCAGTCTGGAACAGACTCCTTCCATATGTTTGCACCCA